GGGGAGCGGCTGGCGAAGCAGCTTCCTCCCATCGGGGGGAACCGGCGCGTTGTCGCAAAGCTCCATGCCCTGATTTATGATAAAAAATTTAAAGGAAATCATTTATATTTCAGAGGGCCTAAATAGCTGCATGAAAGTTTTATCTAAAGTGGCACCATATTTATAGGCAGTTCTGTGTGTTGGAGGTAATTAATAGAGGGATAAATTTCAGGCCTTTGTTTTGTTTTGTTTTGTTTTTAACCTTGCCTTTATTTAGCGCTGCCTGGTTAACGTCAGTAACTAAGAGGATGGGAAGGGAAAGCTGGGTGTAAGCCCGGGTGGAGCTGGTTCCCCGGGACACGTCTCCCCAGCCCCAGCTCCCAGAGCATCCCCGGCTCCTGCTGCTGCTTCCTCCTCCCACCGAGGAGCGGGGGCCGGAGCCCTCAGACGCCTCCGTTCCGAGGCTGCTGCAGCCGGGGACCACCGGGCTCGGGTCAGGGCTCCTGCCCCAGCCCACCCCGGGACCCCCCCTCCTCACCCCTGCTCTAAGCACCGTCTGCTCCTGCCCCCCCGAAGGCAGCCGTTTGAAGGAACGGGGCCTGGGTAACCTAGCTGCTGAGCTGCCTTTAATTAAAGCTGTAAAATATTGATGTTCCTGGCCCTGTCTGCTGACGTTACACCTTACAAACCGAGGAGAGGAGTCCAAAGGATAAACAATAACAAGTTAAAAGAGCCCAGATGGTTTGCCATCAGAAGCTATCTGAGGACTCAAAGGTGTCACTGCAATAGATTTCAGAGATCATTCACACACTAGTAAATAATTAATAGTATTTCTGGAAAAAAAAACCCACCAAACCCATGCCCTGATGAAACATCACTGGTGACTCATTGAATATCTGAAGGTAAAAGTCAGATTAAAGGCGTGTGCTATTTCATTCTTTGTCACAATTCAAAGATTGCTATCCATTTTCCTAATATATAAAAATACCCATTTCTTATTTTGAATTTAATTCAAAGCCCATCACAGCCAGAGCGTTGTCGATAGGTTCATTGCATTCATTCAATTGAGTTTAAAAATTACATAGTGAATGCTTACACAGCACTGCTGGGGAGTCTGAAATATAAACACGTGTTATTTAACACACAGTTCATGCTAACGTCCTCTCTGCAGTGGGTGTCAGCAGCACCATCACACTCCCAAAGCCACAGAACCTGCCCCATTACATTTTCTTCAGTAGCTATTTAAAATAACAACAATTTCCTGCAAATCCATCTCTCCTGGGGCAGGTCTCTGCTTCACCCTTCGAGGTCAGTGAATGAGCTGAAGTTTGTGTAACTGCCACAAGGACACCATCCCGTTCCCCAGCGGGGAGCGCGGCCGCCTGCACCCCCTTTGGCTCCAGCCCCGGGGCTTTGCCCCCCTGCCCACCCCGACTGCTGGGGGGCTGCTTCCTCACACCCCGGCCTGCGGCTTCACTCTGGGTCTGACAAAAACCCATGGTTTTCAGACCTGACTCCAGGAATTCCCCGATACAGTCAGTTGTGCTGCTGAGGTGCAGCCTGGTGTCAGAAACGCCTCATCTGAGGGGGGGGAGGAGGGACGAGCGCTGACTTTGGGGGGTCCCTGCAGAACCTGGGCCTGCACAGTGCGTTTCTGGAACCCTAAAAGCAGGAGCCGCGCGGTGCCCTGCGATAGGGCTGTTCCACTGCACAATCTGATCGAGGGAGTAGCTAGGATTACCCAGACAGTCAATTATTCATCAGCTAAACGGCCCAGCATCAATTACCTGGCTTGATTCTCTTATTCATTAAGGAGATTGAAGAGCCCAACTTAACAAAGCAAAAAGAAAGTTGCTAAGTTACAGGAGCCACCCGGGTTGGTGGCCAGGCCACCCCGAGCCCGGCCCTCAGCGGAGCGGGGGCTGCAATGGCGGGGAGGTGTCCGGGGGTACAGAGTGTCACCCGGACCCACAGTTTGGAGCAGCCCCTTCCCCGTGGGGCTGGACGTGGAGGGGCTCAGCAGAGGGGCAGGACTGTGCCCAGTTACCCCCACACCCCAGCGTGGCCAGTGATGGGTGGTGGGGCTGGCCAGAGGAGAAGGAAAGGTGCTGCAGGGGTGTTTTGAAGAGGAAGATGGGTTTAACCCCCTTGAAGAGGGGTTAAAGCGAGGGGCTGGGGGAGGACACCATCATTCCGGGAAGTTTTCAGTGGAGGTGGGGGTGGGATGGAAACTGTTCTGGGGAGAAAAGCTGTGAGTGGCACCGCTGGGAAGGGACCCCCCAGCGAGACCCTGGGCAGTGTCCCTGATGAAACATCACTGGTGACTCATTGAATATCTGAAGGTAAAAGTCAGATTAAAGGCGTGTGCTATTTCATTCTTTGTCACAATTCAAAGATTGCTATCCATTTTCCTAATATATAAAAATACCCATTTCTTATTTTGAATTTAATTCAAAGCCCATCACAGCCAGAGCGTTGTCGATAGGTTCATTGCATTCATTCAATTGAGTTTAAAAATTACATAGTGAATGCTTACACAGCACTGCTGGGGAGTCTGAAATATAAACACGTGTTATTTAACACACAGTTCATGCTAACGTCCTCTCTGCAGTGGGTGTCAGCAGCACCATCACACTCCCAAAGCCACAGAACCTGCCCCATTACATTTTCTTCAGTAGCTATTTAAAATAACAACAATTTCCTGCAAATCCATCTCTCCTGGGGCAGGTCTCTGCTTCACCCTTCGAGGTCAGTGAATGAGCTGAAGTTTGTGTAACTGCCACAAGGACACCATCCCGTTCCCCAGCGGGGAGCGCGGCCGCCTGCACCCCCTTTGGCTCCAGCCCCGGGGCTTTGCCCCCCTGCCCACCCCGACTGCTGGGGGGCTGCTTCCTCACACCCCGGCCTGCGGCTTCACTCTGGGTCTGACAAAAACCCATGGTTTTCAGACCTGACTCCAGGAATTCCCCGATACAGTCAGTTGTGCTGCTGAGGTGCAGCCTGGTGTCAGAAACGCCTCATCTGAGGGGGGGGAGGAGGGACGAGCGCTGACTTTGGGGGGTCCCTGCAGAACCTGG